GCGGGATTTCAAACAACTACGAATTCGATCACTGGTAGGGCTGATTGGGCTTTAGCCCTACCTGAGATTTTTCTATACGTGGGTGGATTGGTACCTTATGAAGACATGAGTAGGTATAGCCCTTTTATAGTTTCGTTAACGTTTGTGTTTACCCGAGAGACTATACGGCTGGGGCGATTTATTTAAAATTGAACACTCATTATTTCAAAAAGTGTAATTGTTTTTGAAAATATTTTTTACATAGTTTCGAGTCGCTTACAAAACAATTTTGTTATTAAAAAATTATCCTTCTAATTTTAGATTCTGAGCGGAGCGATGAATGTATTGGTTTTACAATGATGTATGTTTTTATATTTTTATTTATATTTTAGATTCTGAGCGGAGCGATGAATGTATTGGTTTTACAATGATGTATGTTTTTATATTTTTATTTATATTTTTGTGTCTGTCATCACGTTTTGGGACAGTAAAAGTGCTTCGATTTTCTTCAATAGTACCTTTTCTGATAGGAAAGTGAATCTAGTTGGTACTTTGGGGGGTCAAAAGTAAACATTTTCCAGTAGTTTTCACAAGCGCCGGGAAAAACAACATAAAAATTAAGGAAAAACGGGAATTTTTACGCAAAATTGGTTTTCCAAAAAATCGATTTTGGTTATTGGTGTAACTCTAAAACAAATGAACGTATATACATGAAATTTTCACTGGTTGTTTATAATTGCATTTTCTATACACGATAACATTTTCAAAATATTTTGATTTATTTTGAACTGTTTAGGGACATTTTCATTTTCCATTTTTTTTTAGTTTTTTTTCTAAAAATATCAATACAATTTTACTTGTTGGTTGCGAAAGCTTGAAAATTTAATAGAAAGCTCCTAATATGTTGTTTCAAAGGCAGATGAAAAATATTAAAAATCCTTAGTCACAATTTTTTTTTATAAGCATTTAAAGTTCAAAAATTGACAAAATATGGAAAAATCGCGAAAATTAGCAAATTATTTTGAGTTAAGAATTCGTAAAAATTTTTCTTTTTAAATCTAAGATTTGAAAATGAAACACAAGATTCCTTATAAGATTATCTACCTTTATCAATAAAAAAATCTCTACCGGAAAGTCAAGTTAAATTTTTATGAGCGTTTGAAATTCAAATTTTTACAACATATTTCAACAATTTATTATAGGTACCTATTATAGGTCAATTTTTTGTTGTATACCATAGATATGTATATAATATGTCTTATACATAGACTGACATACCGTCACCGCTCAGAATCGTTTTTCTTATACAATGATATTATATCATTGAATTCAAATTTACTACCATCCATTATACAGTGACCCACTTGTAACCTACTGTACAGCAGAGCGACACCCACTTGCCCACCTTTTTTTTATTTTATTTTTGACGACATAGAGTTTAAATTTCATATTCCAAAGTAGAATATTTTACCAAGTATTTCGATACACAAAAATCGAATTTAGTGTGAGACGTGAGTAGTCTATGCGTTATAAGTATTTAAAATTAAGTGGTACTGGGTTATCCTGCAAAATGTATGTCCACTACTCCGCTCATCTAAATTTTAATATTTATATCTTATATACTAATAGCCCTAAAGTCGATTTACAATGAATAATTAATAATAATAAATAAATACCTATTAATGTTAATTGACAAATTTTAATATTATATAATATACTTTGAACGTTTTTGAATAAATTGTTTTATTAGATTATATTTGGTTAAAATTTAATTAAATATTGATGAATTTTGTGTGTGTGAAATATCAAATAGTGAAAAATGATTGTTTACATTTTCCAGTAACCAACAAAAGAGTCACTTAAAAGTTTGTAGAGTGTAGTGAAAATGTCCATAATTTTTTTCTTGTGTGACCATGACAAGGGGGTGGGTGATCAGATTGAATTAAGCCGTACCCGACTCGGAGGTTTGCGCACGCCTATGAATTCGATAATATCACTAAAATAAAAATGAAAAATCACTACAAGTAGTGTACGACCGCGGATCAACCCCTAACATCAACACGTGGACCACCAATTGAGAACCACTGGTATAGAGAGTGTAGGTACACTGACACACTGTTGAACACGGATCGTGACGAGGGTGAAAGAGAAAAAACCCGTCAAACTAAGTGAATATATTATTATGATAAAAAAAAAAGAAAATCAATATTCGGAACAAGAAACGCGATTACCTATATTTTATGCCAAACTTGCGCATATTATTATAAACTATTTACCAGCTCGTTCTCGAAATGTAAATACATATATACAGCTACCTATTTATAAACTGCTATATTTTTCTGGAATCTTGTATCTAAGACTTAAGGGATTATATAAAATATTACGAATTAAGGTAGTTTTTAGACGAATTTCAAACGTTCAACTATGATCAAGTGTGACGTGTAGTAAGAAGATTTTATTAGAAATTTAGAACTATTATTATTATTATTACCTTTAATAATTAATATGTATGCTATACGACAGAACTACTCTATCTTTTCTGGTAAAAAAGTTAATCTAGTTGTAATTTAGGAGGTCAAAAGTAAGAATTTCCCAGTAGTTGACTGTTGAGTTGTCTAAAGAATATGCTTTGATCTTCACATTTGATGCGGTGGTCTCTGATAGTAAATTGCATCTATTTGGAACTTTTGAGAGATCAAAAAAAAATCCCAGTACTTTTCAAAAAAGGTAATTAAAATTCAATATAAGGTTCCTCGTGAGATATTTTACTCAGGTTACAACAAAACTGAAATTCTACATTTATACCTGTACGATATAATGTATAATAATGTATGTCACTATTTTCACAAGCCGCATAAATGAATTGTACACTAGCGTGTTGACGAGTTAATAAATAATATAAAACAATAACCAATTAAATAACATAAGAAAAACGTTTATTTGTAAACATCTTACGATTTTCAGTATAGTATATCAATATATCATGGCCATAAGCCATATCATTGATTAGACTAAAATTGAAAGTTGTAATAAGGTATCTACTGAAGATGAAAATTGAAGCATTATTTTGACTACGTACCGTGTACACAGACACAAAAAATGTAAACAAAAAAACACATCATTGTTAGAATCTAAAAAATAATTGGATAGCCATTTCATTTTAAAATGTTGATTAATAAATAAAAAACTTGTTAAGAATGATTTATGAGGGTATGTGGGTGCAAAGCTCCCACGGCTTTGGTTCAACAGAAAAATCGTAGCCCCCAACTATTTAATGGATTTCCGCTTTCCACCTATGGCTATACCTGTCAGTCAGCTAACTATAGTTATGAGTATTGAGTATAGGTAACTTATTTTTAATTTAAAGTCCTTACCTGTAAAAGCTGAACGTTTTATAAATTTGTAACAACAAAATAATTTTCACGAATTTGATCAAATTTTAGACTTTAAATGCTTATAAAATAATTGTTCTAAAGTATATTTAATATCGTTCAACTGTTACTATGAAAAATTAAAATTAGGTTAAAACCTAACCTAAGTTTTTTTGGCCCCAAAAAAACTATTGAATGACATTAATTGGGAAAAAATAAAAACAATTGAAAATGTCAAGTATTTACGGTTATTTGTTCCATGAGAATTCGTTATTAATATACGGCTAAGAATACTATTTTATAAAATTTTAATTAAGGCCTGTGAGGGGGGGGGGTCTCACCCCTATCCACCCTACAATTGCCTGGTTGTAACAATTATAGACTGGTACTGAAATAATTCGGTGACAAACAGAAACGAATAGTATATAATATTTCAAACACAAAAGTTGCCCTTTGTATATAATATAATAATATAGGTACATACCTACTTTGAATGTTTCAAGTACCCACAAATAATATTATTATTAAATTACAACAAAATAACAAAAATGTCAAATTTTGTCAAATTTGAACATAAAATATTTACTGTAAATATATTTTTTAAACTTTTTAGCTACAATATGAATTATTTATGAGAAACCTTGTTCTTTGAACTGCTATCATAAAAACTTACAAGGAACCTTGTATTACATTTTCAACATTTTTTACCCCCCCCAAAAATTTATTTATTAACATTGTTTTTAAAAAATAATAAAAATCTAAAATGTGGAGATACCCGTACACTGTGGTGGTGGCGGTAAATTGTGTCTGGACTCATTTTATCGCTACCAGTGCATAACCGGTGCACTGCTAACCTAATCTTTATGCCTATAAATAGCTCAAAAAAAGCCTAAATATTGTATTATATCATAGTATTCATAAAATACTAATATCAATATTTAGTGAAAATTTTAAGTTGAAAAATATTACTTTTAATTACTTCTGTAGTTCTGTACCATTTTAATATATAAGAGTATAAGCTTTGCACCTTGTTTATAATGTTAAACAATTTTTCATTACACACATAACATTTAATAATTACAGTAAAACATCATTAATCTGGACCCCAATAGTCCGGACTTCGCTTAATCCGGACAGTCGTTTAATAGCATTTAAACTCGTAGTTTGAGACGCACACTAAAATAAACATGAAAGGGAATTCAACGAATTTCACATATATATGCATGTGATCACGATTATTTCTACAAAATATATCAAAAACAAATTGTCAATCACGTCATCCAATTGTTAATTACATAATACATGTTCTTAATTCTATCATACGTTGATACATACACGTATTTTGGTTATTTTGTTGAATCCGGACTTTCATTAATTCGGACAACCCAGAGCCCCAATCAGTCCGGATTATTGAGGTTCTACTGTACTAATACTTTCAGTTATTGACACAAGCCTGTATACCGGCTACTAGGTAGATAGAGTAGGAAGGGAACTTAAGTTTTAGTCGTACACATTTAATTTACCTACTTAATCTGTCCATTTAGTTAATTGTAACAACTTAACTCACAAAATTTGTATTAAAAAATAATTGTATTGATAATTATGATAATTAGGTACACTTTAATTATTAGATTTTTTTTAATTAAATATTTATGATGCCAAGGGATTTGCATGAATGGAAATATATTGTATTTTCACATCAGTCAGGGGTTTAAAATTTTTTGAATTGACTGGTAGTTTTTCTAGTTCATCTAAAGCTTCAAATCCATCGATTACCCTAAAAAAAAAACCGATAATATTAGATTAAATATCAAAACAAATTTTTATTAAGTGTTGTATACCTTCCAAAAACTGTATATTTTAAATCCAGATTGGGTTGAGCAGCATATGTCAAGAAGAATTGGCTACTATTAGTATTAGGTCCATTATTAGCCATTGATACAGTTCCTCGTTCTTTATGCTAAGATTTTAATAAAATATTATGAATTATAATTTATTATTTGGGTATTTGTTTATAGTATGTGACCTACCAGGCCAAGTTACCATATTGGGTATTCGTTTAGTATTTTTATTCTAAGTAAAAATCATAAATAATTTTTGTTATTTAATCATTAATAATTATTTAGTAATACAAATATGAAATAATACAGGATTTTATTTAATGATGTCAAAATCAGTTAAACAAAATATCAATAAAAAAAAAATAAAAAATGTATGAATATTAAAAACCTATTGCAAAGTCAAAATTATTCAAAAAATTTCATAAAATCATTTTATTAAAAAAAAATTGTATTTTATTTTTAAAAAGTATTTAGCAATACCTATACTTTTTGTACATCAGTTAAAAATTTTAAAAATGTATCTCGCCTGGTTATATATCGGAACCCATACATTGTCCTTACATAACATAGTTAATCATCTTGGTAGGTCACATACTAAACAATCACTAAGATTTGTTAATTGTTATGAAACATGACTTAAATATTAAAATATATTACTTTTAAATTTTCTTTGAACTCATCTTCAAACTTTCGGCCCCAAATTGATGAACCTCCTTTGCCCGTATGTGTTGGATCACCAGTTTGTACAATGAATCCTTTGATGTTACGGTGAAACAAACACCCATTGTAATAGTCACTGGCACATAATGCCAAGAAGTTCTGATCAAAAACAATCAATAAGGAATTATATAAATGTTATGAAGTATAAAAAATATAATATACCTAAACATATTTCAATATTTACCTCTGCAGTTTTCGGACATTCTTCACAGAATACTTCAATTTTTATGTCACCAACATCTGTATGCAGGGTTATGGACTAAAAAACAACAATTTCTGATTACAAAATCATAGAATAAATCCAAGCTTTTGGAATATTCCCAGTTATTTTTATTAATGGATTATTTGAATGTGATGTTAAGTGTATAATTCTACAACATATTATCTTTTAATAATATAGTAATAAATACGATATTTTAAAGAATTAAGAAAAAAAGTAGTATTGGTTTCTTCTTTACATCCCATTAATATTCATATTTCAAATATTGAAGTACCTTGCAATTGAATGTTAAAAATTTATTTTAAAAAGTTAGTTTCTAATACCTACGGAAAACCACGATTTATAAATTATAATATTTAAAATGTTAGTTAGAACTAGTGTTAATTTAACTAAAATTAATGTATTAATTCATAATCAGGGGCCTATGATAATTGACTTACCATAATTCGTGAAAGACGAATACAATTTCTGGACGATGTATGCGTATCTTACCGAAAGATTAAAACACGGATAGCTATAAAAAATTTGAATTTGCGTAAATTTAAATTACATTAGCACCACTGGATCACGATTTACAAAATATAATTGCAGAATGCCGACAGAAATTGATATTTAATCACAGAATAGAATAATGATAATATTATTATATTCTACAACCGCCAACCAACGGCCCACGGCATTTAACAATATTTACATGATAAAAAAAAGAATAACAAACCAATAATCAGTTATCAAAAACTCGTTCTTATCTCTGAAGTTGGCCGCCATTTGCAGGTGGGATAATAATATGATAAAATATTTTAAACCGGTCTGGCGGTCTGGTTTAGCGAATTTCTGTGAACAGTGAGTAGAGAATACTGGACAAACACAGCGATGTAGAGAAGATGGGGGCGTACCCAGGATTTTTTAGGGGGGAGAGGGGGTCCAAATTTTTTTGAAATGTAAAAAGTATAATATACAATAAGTGATTTGCACCTTAAGAATTTTAAACGTTGTTGATCAATTGTTAATCAATGGAGGGGTCCAGACCTGAAAACACTCCCCTTGGGTACGCCCCTGGCAGAAGATACCTAGTGTTTTATCGTAATTTCACAGAACAGATGAAATCATAAATCTATTTCATCTATTCTGTGGTAATATGGTATCGACAGTGGAGGATTTTCAAATTTTTTCTGGGGAGGGGGTCCTAAAAAATAATAATATATATTTCAAATGTATTGTTTTCATTAACTAATCGAAATAGTAAAGGTCGTCTAGTTGAGAAAAATTAACACATTACAAATTACCCCTTAAGGTTTAAATTCCATGTAATTTAATACACTTAGTTCAAAAATTGATATTTTGAAAAGATAACCGAGAAACCGAGAATCGTTAGTAGCTGGATTCACCACGGCTAAATAAATTAGTCATCCAGTCAAGCATAGTAGTCCGCAGACCACAAAATAGATTAAATTTCATCTATTCTGTGGGCAGACCACCTTCTATTGGGAAAATGAGAACCACTGCTGAATGTTATTGTTATTATCATTCAGTCTATGTTTTTATAAAATATGTAATATTACTATATTATTATATTAAACACGAGAAGTTGTTTTATTGATAAACTAAAATATATAATAAGTATTTATAATCAATGATAATATCAAGTATTTTGCTTTAAATTATATAAGGCAAATCCTGAAATCCAACAAACATGAATACATAATATATTAATGAACATAATATAAAAATTAATAATAAATATTTAATACTATAACATTGTTAAATATGAAATAAAATTTAAAAATATAAATCTCTGTAACATATAACGATACAGCTACAAGCTTATAGAAGAAAAATCAAAATATTAATAATAATAAAATGTTTAAGATAATATTTGGCACATAAAAGTAACATACAGGAATAATCACATAACATTGTTGCAAGCACATTTAGTATTTTGATTAAGACTCAACATAGTGAATAAGCAAACTATTATATTTTAGTAACAAATATAATATATTATTCAGACAATTTTATTTGAACAATTCTGGATATTTTAAATAAATTTCCTTAATAATACAAACATCTTGGTCTTTTGTGCACGAACTATCATCGACAAGAATTTCTTGAAGGCAATTATTTAAATCTGATAGTTTATGTCTGCGGTCTAAGTATTCCGTATTAAAAATCACATTCTTACAAAGTTCCAAGTATGAAGTACGAGCCTAGACATAATAAAACAAAACAGCTATAAATTATTGAATGACATATATTATGTAGTTAAAAATGAAAAATGTGTTCAATTCATTACCATTTCATCGGATGGAATATTCAATAATTGACGTATAATAATATCAACTAAAACTTCTATATCATTAACATAAAACAACTTAGCAGTTTTTGAGTCAGCAAGAATGTCATTTAACATTTTTTCTACAGAGTTTTTAGGTTTTTTCTTCAGTTTTAAAACTTGTACTGGATCTTCTATTAAAATGGATATTGTATATAATATATAGTTAATGTTTATACTTTATCTGTCACTAGAAAATCATTGTACATACTTTCAGTATTAAGTAAAATCAGCAAATTTTCAGTAAGTACTTTAGCATTGTCTCTCTGGGCCAGCCCTTTTAAAGTTATGTTTGATTCAATTTTGGGAAACTGAAGATTATAAGACAACAATAAGTTGATCATGCATTCAGTCTTTTTTTCATCATCAGGAGATTTCAGTTCATTGTCCTCTATATCACTTAGTATTTTGGTAACAAAGTCCACATTCATATATTCTGAAAAATTAAAACCAAAATCATTTATCGGAAGCTTTGGAGATGAATCTTAATTAAATGTTTTACCAAAGCATGAAATTGGTAAAGTCTCTCCAACCGATAAAATGAGTGTTAGAAATTCAGAAAGAATGACTTGCTTGTTTAAATCTTCTTTGTTGTTTTGCATATCTCTAAACATAATATTTGATTTAGTCTTTATCATTAATCAGTATACAAAATATGTATTTAATGTAAAATCTAATGTTTTAGATTCTAATTTCAACAATGTGAGCAATATTATTTAAGAAGATAATGAAGTACTCTATGTGTACACAAGTCAATAATATTTGGGACCTGAATGAGAGGTCAGGCCCTTATGGGTATGGTTATAGTAGGCCAATAAGTTTTTTTAATTCCATAAGCATTCAAACAAATTTGTCCAATAGATAATGTGTCTAATATTATATTATAATATATTAATGAAACTAAAATAATTAATATTTTTAATTAATTAGTTGTATATTTATTATATTTTAATATATTTATATAGTATGTATTCAAATTATAATAATTAATGATAGTTATTGGAATAATGAGAATGTAAACATTTAAAATATAAAAATAGAATTTTAATAATCAGATGTTTTGATAGAAATAATAAATAATAACAATTAATAACATACATTGCGAAAATTTTGTTTTCTGATCAAATATCATTAAGATAACCTATCATGATTATAGTACTAGACACTCTGATTTAAATACAGTTATTATAAGAAAACTATCAACATTGGTGTTTTTATGATATATCAATTTTTCTGCAATTTATGAGCATTTTTTAAATTGTAATATTTTACAAGCTCATAACTTACATAAAAATTTAAATATTATAAAAACACCAATGTTGATAGTTTTCTTATAATAACTGTATTTAAATCAGAGTGTCAAATACTATAATCATGATAGGTTATCTTAATGATATTTGATCAGAAAACAAAATTTTAGCAATGTATGTAGTAAAAGTTTTAACAACTAAATGCTATGTTTATATGGGTGTGAAAAAGAAAACCGATAGTGAGCTGACATTCTCTTATTACAGGTACCTATTATTAAAAATTGAAAACTGAATAATTCAATATCCGCTATTCATTTTATTATTTGTTAAAATTAAACTAATGCATGATTATCAATATTAAATTATTTGTGTAAATTTAAAATATTGACTGTAAAAAACAAAAAAAGTACCTTGCTAATTCCATTGGCAGTATGGAATTAATTATAATATCAACAACAACAAAATTGAGTTTGCATAATTCTGAAAATATGTTAAGCAAATGTTTTTGAATCACCCATCGTAATTCCATTTGATAATATTCTAACAAATTGTTAATTGATGTATATTGGTCGATTTTTAAAACATGATTTATGACCATTGGATCTGCATTTTTCTATAAAAAAAATTATAAAATAATTATAACAAAAGAGTGTAAGCTGTTAATTTTGTGATAGTGATTGGTATTAATTCTAGTGTTTCGCATCATTCCAAATTTATATTTAAAAATATATTATAAAGGAAAAAATGCTATCGTAATTTAGAATTTTAAATCCTTTTATATACTGATACCAAAGTTGATTTGCAACCTATATATATATTTTATATTTACTAACACTGTAGTAAAAAGTAGATTTTTAAATAAAATAAAAAATATATAATTTATATCATCTAGGAGATGTTTAATTGGACAATGTTTAGTCCTTAATCTATTTTAAAATAATTGGTTAATTGGAAAAAAAACTATATTCAGCATTATAAAAACATTTGCTTTGATAAGATTCATAAATGTAACAAATTATCATAAATTAATTGTTTCATACAAATACTTAATCAAATAGGTATAATACATTATAGCTGCCTACAAATTTAAAATAATTTTGTTTAATTTACAACTGATAGGATTTTATATTTAATATAGTAAGAATAATTGATTACCAAGATGCTCGTGAGCTCAATTAAACATTCTTCAATTTGAACATGATCATCAAATATTTGCCATGAACGTTGTTGTGAATCTTCTTTAGCAGCCGTTAAGTATTCCAATAACTGTTGCATGCATTTTCCATCCTTAGTATTTTCCAAACATTCAACTGGTAATGTTGCACTTGTAGGAGGAAAAGTATCAATAATTTCGCGTACACTATTGAGACTAGACTTTGCTGATTCATCAACTAGATCAGACAAATATTGAATCACAACCGAAACAGCTATTTGAGAAAAATTGTATGACAATCCTGTATGATTTCTTACCTAAAACAGGAAAAATGTTATACATTTATATATAATAATAAAAAATTTCTCAAAAGATAACTAAATAACTATATGATATAATCTACTATGTACAGCTTAAACTATTAACTAAAAACAGTTACCTACTATACATTATTGTACTACACACAATACTGAATACTTTCTAATAACTTTGGCTTAAGTTCAATGAATTTGCATTTTTTTGGGAATGCTTGACAATAACTTAAAAGTTTTAACATTTGTATCAAAAAAATCTTATAATTCTAAGAGATTTATTTCATATTAATTCATATTATATAGATAGTATTAACATTGTAGTATTTAATATTAAGTTTATACTTGCTGCACTACTTCATAAATATCTGGAATAGTTATCTCCTTTGGTTTTTTTGAAACACTTAAACTATTTCCAGTTTCATTCAATGTTTGCTCATATGTTTCTGATTGATTACCCTGAAAGCATAATACAAAACTCGTGTTTATTCCATTACATACAATTTTATAACATAGGTAGCCAGGTTGGAACCAACATTACTTAAGGGGATTCGATACCTTGATTTTCTGTTTTTGTCCAACACACGCGCAACATAGTATTTTAGATGTGTTTTTTGCCAAACATACCAATTGATCTAATGAAGCGATAAGAATTCTGAAAACAGATTTGAATTTGTCGTCAAGTCTACTTGAAATCGACTTTCCCACATTTTTGTTATTATCTTCCAAATTTTTCAAAATGTCATATTCAAAAAGAGTATTTAAAAATTCTGTTGTTTCAATTTTTGGAAAAGTTAAAATCAAAAAATCAAAAATGTGGGAAAGTCGATTTCAAGTAGACTTGACGACAAATTCAAATCTGTTTTCAGAAATCTTATCTCTTCAATAGATCAATTGGAATGTTTGGCAAGACACACGTCTAAAATACTATGTCACGCGTGTGTTAGACAAAAACAGAAAATCACGGTATCGAATCCCCTTAACTATTTAAATATAAAAGTATAAACAAAATAATAATACCTTATCAATGGTTTTGCACTGTACTGGCGTATCCAGCGTATTAAAGGAAGATTTCTGTTTAAATTTTTTCTGTCGTCTCAGTAATGATTCATATAGCTTAAATTTATCAGAACAATTATCATTCACATCAAGTTTTTTTTGAACTGCCAAAAGACAATTCTCTAGGAATTTTAACACATGAGTATCCTTTACCTGATAACATTTAAACCATTAATTAAACATGGAGGTAATTAACAATAATTGAATTTACTTACATAAATGGTTTTAACATAATTATATGGCACGTATCCTAAATCACCAGTATGGTTGATAACTAAACACCAACTCTTTTTATCAGCAACATCTCGGTAAATGAAAAACTCATCATTCATTTTGAAATCTAGTGTTCTCTCTGACGAAGTATCTTTGTAATCATACAATGCTTGAAGCATCTCATAATCTAATCAATATAATAAATTAATATAATGACAATTATGTAGTAATTAAGTTTGTTTTGTTACTAGGTCTTAGAAACTAAAATAAATTGCAAACTGTTTATTGTCTCTACAGAAAACTTATAAGAGAACATTTTACTATAGCATTTAACTATCCATAAAGAGACTGAAAATATACAATATTAATTATGTAGGTAGAGGTATTGTGCATTTTATACAGCATAATATTATAAATAATAATACAAAGTTACCTATCATTAAAAAGAAAAATGTCGTTACAAACGATCAAAACAATATATTATTATGTATTTATGTAGAGAAGCATATTGAATTGTAATGGAAACAGTACACAAAAATAGTATTGGTTTATAATGTGGGAATAATATTTATTAATTATGATTTTGGTTGTAGCTTACTGCTTTCTGATGTATCGTTCATTTTTGTCCTCGACGAAATATAACAAAATCAGGTATAAATCATTAAATTCTTGTGGGTTATGCTGAAGATAGTTAGGCCCGGATAAAATGTTTGCTATAAAAATAATAGAAAATATATATTATTTACTAGCACTTGTTTATTTGACATGGACATAATATCATATTGTATTAAGTACCTACCACAGAATGTGTGCCTACCACCATTTAGATAACCGACCGATTATGAGAACTGATTTTTTTAAAAATGATTAAAACCGCATAATATAAGATATTAGATAATTATTGTAAAATTGTAATCTTCGGGAACACCGTGACTGTAACAACTGGTAAACGACAGTACGAAGATGATTTAGGATAACTGTATAACTATCAAGTCGTAAAGCGAGTACAGACAGACCATTGAACTATACAATAACTATATATAATAACGATGAATTATTATATATGAATTATTATATAGTTCAATAGCGCGCTGCACGATTATAAAGTTCTTTATAATCGTGGTACACTGGTACAGACTACAAAGCTGCTGGTGACCGGTGGGACGCACAATGAACATAGATAAGTATAATCACAGGACGATAATCGAAGGGCAGCTCAGCCAGGCTCACCAGCTGGTGCTCACAGGGTGCTAACTGTACCACTTGGACACTAGGTCATCGCCACGGACTGTTTACCGTCCGGAATGTCACATTAATATTTTACGAACGTTTGAACCATTAAACTTCAATTTTTTACAAAGTACAAAGGCCGTATATCTCATGGCGGATTGCATTGTGAGACTAGTCATTTATAATTATTATATCAAGAGTTATTACTTATTGTGGACTGTGGAGTTATTTTTCGTATCGATCTAGGTATATTTATAAATATCGGCGCACATACCCTGCGAAATAAGTACAACACGACCCCACTGAACTCAATAATATTATTGAGTTCAGTCTTCAGTGCACGACCCAGTGGCGTATATAGGAGGGAGGGCCCCATAGGCCAGAGCCCATAGTGAAATTGCAGGTTCAATTAAAGCATTGCATGTATATATCTACACTGTTTACAGTTTTTCACCATGATTAAGAGGACGCTACCCGAGGTGCATTTGTTGTCTCCGTCTCACACACTCACCACTTACGATATAGCAAATTTCCGTTCAGTGGCGTAATTTGGTCATGGTTGTGGGGGGGGGGATGAAATGTATGTACATTTCACCAATTACCCCCCCCCCCCCTCAACATTTTTTTTTTAATCGTATAAGGCATAAGCTATAAGCAATAAGCACCCCTCAATACAAGAATACAACCATTATGATCTGTATGACTGTATGTAATAACTAGTAGCCGGAATTATATTCTTTTGCATATTTTTTTTGAGTCTATGCAGTCAGACGGGGGTTCGAAATCTTTACAAATCATGAAACAGGTGAGTTAATGGCAAAAGTTTATTTTGCATATTTGGGAATATTTCAAGATAAAAGAATATTTCGTATAATAAAAAATATTAGAGAATATATCGATTAGTTTTTGTAGATGTTCGATATTTTTTGTTGCAGTAGCCTAAATAATATAAATAGCACATATGAAAACATTTTAACCGACCGTTGTACAAATATGACATCAGGGAACATGGAACAAAATATAGTTTTCAAAAATTTTTTTAGTTAAAAATTTAAAAATTTAAAATAATTAAATATTAAATCAAACTTTTCTTAACTACAAGTAGTATTTTTTATTATGTAGGTACCTATTTATATCAGGTTTTTATATTATTTTGCATATTATGTACCTATTTATTTATATGAGTTCGTATTATTTGCTTAATTATTTTGCATATAAATGCATATTTTTAGTTCAAGAGAATATTTTAATAAAAAAGCATTTTTTTTGCATATTTTATTATTATTTTTAAAGAATATTGGAAGAATATTTTCAACTTTTTAAGAGAATATTATTAGCATCTTATTTTGGCTAATTTAAAAGAATATAATTCCGGCCCCTAGTAATAACTAATATTGTATATACAGTGTGATCACGATTTTAGGTACCACTGAATATCTCAGATGGCTGACTTTGTATTGAAATGGGGTTTTCGGGAGGTGATAGCCGATAGGAAGCACTTAAATACATATTTTCAGACCAGTTTAAAATTTTTAGCTCACTCGGTATGCGCATGCGCAATTTGACTTACTTTTTGTTAAATGGCAACCCCACTTTTTTTCTACAGATTCGGGTAGAGTATTTTTTTTTAAACATTTTTTGTATTGAAAGTTTTTCTATTTATAAAACTCACCAAGTTAGAGAAAGTCAAATTTTGGATTTATTCATAATACGTGTTTAATGCAATTTGCATTTATAACCAGTTGAAATAATAAAATAAGTGCCAAATAAATGTTTGATTAGGGGGGGGGGGGTGGCTGAGTGGACTAAGGCGTCGGTTGTGGCCGATTTCCGTCCGCCATTAAACATTTATTTGGCTCTTATTTTATTATTTCAACTGGTTATAAATGAAAATATCATTAAACACGAATTATGCATAAATGTTCAATAAATGTTCAAAAATAAATACTCTACCTGAATCTGCAGAAAAAACTGGGGTTGCCATTTAAAAAAAGTAATATTGCGCATGCGGCATGCGCGTACCGAGTGAGCTAAAAATTTGAAACTGGTCTGAAAATATGTATTTAAGTGCTCCCTATCACCTCCCGAAAACCCCATTTCAATACAAAGTCATCCATCTGTGATATTCAGAGGTACCTAAAATCGTGATCACACTGTATATGATAATATTGATGGATGATTATATATTTGTATAATATTATGGAGATTCGGGTGATTTTTGTATTATCTATGAAATATATATTAATAAAATTAGTACATAAATGTGTTTGACGATTAAAAAAAAAAAAAAATGGTCAAGGGGGGGGGGGGATACGACACCCAAATTCCCCCCCCCGTAATTACGCCACTGTTTCCGTTCACTAGTTTCAATAGTGTGCTGTTATTTTTGATATTAGAGTGAATTGACGGCTGTTATAACATTTTTGGATAATAACATTATATGTGCTTAAGCGTTGGCTTTTATTCGATATTGTAATTTTCGAGCGAGATATGAACATTTTTAAGTTTTGATATTTCACATACACGCATATCTTAGGTACTTGAAAATGAAAATATTGAAAAATCGCCAACACTTAAGCGTCTTAAGCACAGATAATGTTCTTACCTAAAAGTCTTATAATAGGTCAGTATACTCTAGTATAAAAACTAACAGAACACTATTGAAACTAGTGAAAGGAAATTTACTATGTCGTGCGTGTGTAAGACGGAGACAACAAATGCAACTATGCAAGAGTTGATTAAAATCGTTTTTGAGGAATTAACAAGGAAATGTTAGATTGTCAGGACTTGTTTTGATAACTTATTGACTTTGATGTTAAATTCATAGTAAGATAACATTAAAATATATAAATGACACTGTCAATATTTTTTAAAAAAGAATCAAAAAAATTAATTTTACATAATAATTATAAAATTAAATTGCGCAATTTTTATTTGTACTGTATATGTCATAATTATAACAACCCAGCTTCCTAAGAAGTGTATAGTTATGGCTATGTTAGTCGTACTATGCTTGACTAGTGATAGATAACTGATTAATTGGCGCATAGTGAAAATAATTCGTATGTACGCGACTGACACGACCTACAACATGCTATTTTCAATCATAATCGAATACGGAATAACACCGTCATGAACGTCCGATATTTAAACCCGATTAAGACACTGTAAAATAATATTTTACTAAAAAGGATTTACCTTCAACAATTCTAGATTTATCGGATTTACTGGCCAAAGGATAACCTAATCTAACCGTTCCACAGTTATTAAAATGGACATCTCCGCCGATTTTGACCAAAATAGTACCCTATTCCCTTTTCGGCCTATTCGATTTCGTGGCCAAATAAAAAAGTTCTAATATTATATTATTATATACTTTAGATCTTTATGTTAAATTTATAGAAAATTATTAAATATTTATTATAAGTAAACATTAGAAGTATACAAAAATATATAGTACATTCAGTACGTGTTCAACCTTCGAACGTCTAACACGTGTGTACCGCGAGTGCGCCTTTATCAAGCTTCCGATACTCGATAGCATATACATATCGCCTCCATTCTACAGGTAATATGAACATTATTTGACCGAAAAACTCCAGTATGTCCGTCAACGCCTCCAAAGGGCACTCATCTATAGGTATACTAAAACTGCAACTGCTAAGAACCCTCAGAAAAATATAACAAACATGGTTTTCGATCTTTGTTAATTTTTTATTAACTATTAAATTTGATTATTTATATAAGTACCAGTGGCGGTTTTGATAAAACATCAAGTCTATTTTCAATTTTTGGGCCTCCCCCCACCATAATTAAAGCAATTCAAGCATTTAGTGTAATTTCAATTAAAAAAGGAAATGCAAAAAAAAATCCAAGGGGTTGAGCCCTAAAAACCACCACTGACATCCACTCAGAATAATTTTTCGTATACAATGATTTATCAATGTAATAAATTCAGACATCCAATACAACGACATGCTGGACACCTACTGAACAGCAGAGCGGTAGGTACCCACTTGTTAACCTTTTTTTATATTATATTAGGTATTTAGGTATTGTATGAGGTACCTACTAAATTTATAGACTTTTTAATTTATCAATATTATTATATTAAGTTTAATTTTAACGTGTTTTGTTATTAATTTATTTACTTATGCATATTGTTGTAAGTACAAGGTACTATATTTTTAAGTATATTTGAACGTTTCACACTTATACCTAGGTATATATATCATAATATTAAATATATGCAACTGCCAACTGACGATAATTACATTTTAGGCCCCGCAATTTTGCTCTACCCTGGGCCCCACAAATCGTCAGAACGGCCCTACACAGAAAAAAAATTAGAATAAGCATAGAGCTTTATAAAAAAAAAAATATTGTATCCAATGAATTAAAGCTTAATACAGGAGAGAAAATTAGTAACTATTTGCTCCCACTATAAAATGTCAGGGGGCAACTTCCTTCCTCCCTACCCCAATATTATTTTTATGTGTATAGTTTTCTTTTTAGATAATTCATTCCAGAGTGGTGAAAGTTGATCATTGATTTGTGTGAAAATATATATTTTTTTGGTATTTTTATTTTTTACAATAGGTCGCAATAGGTAGATAATATAAAATTATTTAAAAAAATGTACTATAGGTAAATATATATTATAACTCTTATTGAATATAGGTAGAGGGCGTAGTAGTTATAATAGTTACATACAATTTAAATATACAATATTATAATAAGGGCCGTTCTTATACAATGTCCGGTTCAAGTTAACCGACACTTAAATACCGGCCGAGTTCTGCCGGAAATAAAATCTGTTATCAGTCGTTTAGCATTAACTGACACTTAACCGGACATTGTAAGAACGCCTCTTATTATAATATTGACAATATTGTATATTCCTATTACTAATACTACACCCTCTATCTATATTCAATATGAGCACTGCACGTCATGTTTTTTTTCTCTGTATGCGCAGGATTCAAAAATCCACAGGTTTTTTAAAAAATTCTGACCAGGTTGGGTTTGAATGGGTCGTAATGGGTTTTAATAGGTTTTAATAATTTGCAAATGAATGCAGTTCTTGACACTTTTTTGTTAGTTCCCTACAAACCTAACCTTTACAAATATATAGCAAGATGCTGTTTAAAAGTAAAATAACATGTACCTTTTTTATAATAGTTAATATTGTTATTTTTTAATTTTGTTAAATTTGTTTTTTATTTATTAGTAATAAAAATGCAGTTTAAACTTTAAAGTTTGTTGGGTTTTTTTAATGGGTTTTATAACTATAGGCCCGAGTTTTAATGGGTTGGACACTTGGACCTATTATAGGTACTTCGAACCCTGGTATGTTGATAACAAGATTGTAAAAACACAGAATTTGTTGACACGTAATTATGTTAAATTCGATTATCCTTAAAACATAGATATTAGATAATAAAGATTTATGTTTTAAAATTACTTTTTTAGTCCTGAATAAATTGATTTTTTTCTTAATCTAATATCAAAGTAACCTTTTAATGTTTGTAACTGTAATAAGGATGTATAGTTTATATAAATAGGCATGATATAAGTTAGTTATATCATAATTCATAGATTAAATATACTAGTATATTTAAACTATGGTTATATATCATGTAAATAGGTATACGCATACTATAGAACAGGCTTAACAGGCTTGTGAAATACGCTACTCATTTTTTTATGACTTGCGAATAACAATATTAATGAACAATTAATTTTAAAAAAAATTGTACAATTTTCCTTTTGTGTCACAACTATATTAGTGAGAGGTATACAATATGTATCATGTTACTTTTCTGTTTTATCTTCTAACAAACTGTAATTAAACAAGTATTTTATTTATATAGTGTTTTAAGTAATGTATAAAATAAAAAATTGTAGGTATAGGTAACTACCTTCAATTTTTTTTTCAATACATTTTTATGTGCTGCATAGTAATCTATTCACTACATTTGGCCCAATTATTACTTTGAGTTTAACATATCTGCTACAGAATAACCATTTAAAATTAATAAGAAAAATCTATGAGAATAACATAACCTTGAACACAACCATTGGCTTCAATTTGCGGCTATGTGCAGTGCTGTACCTATACATAATAAAAGCAATACAACTTTGTAGTGTTTGTCCCTAATTTTCAATTACTATTATATATTTAAAATATATTATTTAACAATATGTTGATAAGAAAATAATAATATACAACTTCTATTATCCGGAGTGTTATCTAAATGTTTTGTAAAAAACAACCTTTGATTTATGTACTATTTATATATACCTAATTGAAACCGAATGATGTTACTTACTTATTATAGTATACTGAATCGTATATTGTACTTATTCATTATAAATAATCAATAATCCTGATAAAAAAATATATCAATGTGAATTAGAATTTTTTTTATAAACTTCATTGGATATTTTTACTTTGGATGATTTAAATTCATATAGTAATTTGTTAGTTACAAATTCACAATATTCACCTAGAATTTTATTTATAATTTTGTAAGGCAACAATTTTTTATTTTTTTTTCAGAATGAACTCGTTAATGCACATAATTATACTCCAAGTACTTCTTGGTCAAGTATTATCAAATTTGACGTGCACAAGTATAAAAAATATTGATAAATGCTCATGTAAGCATGATCTTTATGGTGACGATATAGAAGTGGAATGTGGGTTGTCAACTTTGGAATTAAATTTGATGGAATCCATAATTAAAATTGAATGTAATTCGGATCAAACACAATGGGAACAGATTTTTGGTCGAATTGATATTAATGAATTACGTTTCACACAATGCCTATTATCCGATACAGGAATTAATCAAACCATCTCAACACTTGGCATTTATAAGGTTCAAAGTTTGAAACTAGTTGCCATGAGACTCGACGGTAGTCTAGAAAATACTTACTTGTCAAAATTGGAGAGCGTGGAGACGTTACATATTACTCTTACCAAATTAATATTAACCAATGAATCGTTTGAAGGAACACCTCGTTTAACAAAATTATATCTTAGAGAAAACTACATAGAAGATATACCCACGGGTGTGTTCAAACCACTTACTCATTTAGAAATATTAGATTTAGGAGATAATGAGATAACCAAATTAAATAGTGATCTATTTTATGGTATTCCATTGAAACGTTTGAATTTGGACACAAATTATTTAACATCTTTGGACCTAAATTCTCAGAGTCTGAAGTATTTGGATGTAGCCAACAATAGAATTACTTCTTTGACTGTTGGACGTCTCAATCAACTTATTAGTATATCATTAAACAAAAATATTTTAGTAACAATGCCTGACCAAACATTTAAAAACACTTCTTTAATGTCAATAAAATTCAGCTATGGTAACTTTACCACTATACCTCAACGATTTTTAACAAATTTAGACGGATTACTTAATGTTTATCTCACGTCTTTAAACATAGAAAAGGTACCAGAAAATATGATTTGGGATTCACAAAATATTGCAAATTTATCATTAGCTTCAAATCGTTTGAATGAACTACCAGTGATGTTTTTTCGGGATGCTAGGAAATTAAAATTGTTAGATTTATCTAAAAATCAAATTGAAAATATCAATCATGAATTACTGACACCATTAATAAATCTAGAAACCTTAGATTTATCCAATAATTTAATAATCCAAATTAATAACTACAGTTTAAGGCACTTAAAAAACTTGAAGTACCTCAATTTGGAAAGAAATAATATAACTAATATTAAACGGGAAGCATTATATGTCCCGAAATTAAAAATATTAAAATTGGCTTATAATAAAATAAGTAATTTGACCTCAAATAATTTATTCTCATTATATTATTTGGATCAAGTTGAAACTATTGATTTATCAAACAATTTCATAAATTGTATTGATCCTGGTTGGGTAAGATTGATTATGTTAATTAATATTAATCTATCAAGTAATAACTTCACTGTACTCAGAATACAAGATATACAGTATATAAATGAAATTGCAAAAACTAATCTTAACAATAATCCATTAGAAGTAATTGATTTGTCAAATTTAGAAATATTTGCTAAAGCACAATCGCCACCATACAATTTCTGGAATAACAGACAAATAAATCTTTCTAGTGATAAATTCATTTGTGATTGTCGTAATTATGAGTATGCAAGATTTTTACATAACCAAATGCCAAAAATAGTGTACATGTACTTACAAATTGAACAAAAATTGATTTGCAATGATGGTTTGGGTACAGAATTTTCAAATATGAATATCGAAAGTTTAACATGTGACTGGAACATTTTTGAGGATGTAGACAAGACTGACTGTTTTGAATGTGAGTGTACTTACCGTCCTCATGACAAATCTGCCCTGATGAATTGTTCAAATAGAAATTTAAGCTTGGCACCGAAAGAAATAATTTCAAGTAGAAATGTTAATTATGTAGAACTGAACTTAAGAAATAATTCCATCACAAAGTTACCAAACTATGAAAATTTAAACATCAAGAAGTTAAATATTGGTTATAATAATTTAAATACCATTAACTTAACGCAGTTACCTAAAAATCTTACGGTGAGTTGATGAATCTTGTTTTATATTAAACAATTCATTTACATTTATACTGTTTTTGTGAAAAGGATTTGATTTCAATCAGTACATAGTTTTTAGTTTTTACAGTTATTATTTTTCTTGTAATCGAGTTCTTTAAAATGTTCTTGTAACTTTACTATGGATATAGAAACTTTAATCTATATATTTACCACTTCCATTATGTTGGTTATGAAAGGGTTAGGTCTCATTAAATGTCCTATAAGTTTTCGTTTCATTCTTTTCATCATTTGATTTAATGATGGATAGTAAAACTCTCTAGAGGAGAGTTTTCTTATGTTGTATTACTAATTATAATGGAAAAAAGGATCAATGGACTCGAAGGAAGAGGAAGACATTTATAGGAGAGATGATTGGAATGGCTGGATGTAACGGGTATTCACATATGAAGACCCTGGCATTGGAGAGAGAGGAATGGAGATCTATTTTTCAACTATGACAAGGCTAAGCCTTTAGAAAAGAAGAAGAATCTATATCTATATCTTATAGTTAATAATACTTACCTATAATAATTTAGGTATCTGAAAATTATTACAACATACAACATTTTTAATAAATCTAAAGTCATTAACAGGGCTTGAGACTTCTAGTATTTGCATTTTTGTTTGAAGTACATAAAGAGGTACAAAAAAATCTAGGAATCTGTTTTATGCTAAAATTCAGAAGTATTCGCTGCACACTGTATATTCACCTGACACCTTGCACATCGATACTGTGTCGTGTACCCATTTACAACGCTTGCCATTGTTTATAAATAAATATATTTCCGTTACATGCCTTTTTTAAACGTACAACATACCAAATTTTATGTTCACAATAATCCACTTCACTCTATTATTTTTAAAATTATAGTGGATTAACTTTGTATACAATTAAAAAATAAAAAAGGACATTTTTGAGGCTTTTATTATTGATATTTGAATTTTGAAGCAAATTATAATCATCAATAAAATGTATTTTTTTTAAATGCTCTTAAATTTCTTTCTAATATTAATAAAAGCTTCCAAGATGCCATTGAGCATATTTTATATTTCTTCAAAGGTAATTTAAAATGTATGTTTCATAAATTTCTAGTTCCATAAGTCTCTAGCTCTGGTCTTTAATAATATTCTTATGAGTTACACGGAGCTTTAAAAAATTCTATACACACTATAATACGTCTAGGTTCACTCAGAATTGTTTGTAATACACCATAATATAACCCAAGATTTTACTTATAAAATAAAGGTTATCAGAGTAACCTGCATGTGTTGTCTCTACTTCTTACAAAATACAAATACATAACATAGCAATTGTATGTTCTGAATAGGTAATTAATTTAACTCATTTCACTCATAGGAGAGCGAAATTACCTATTATGACTCCTAAGAATATTATCCACTGAATCTCATAGGTCTTTTTATTTATATTTTAATTTGCATTTTGATAATTTTAAAACTAAATTATTCGTACCTTTTAAAATTCTTATCTCATTTTAAAATGTAAATATAAACTAACCTTTGAGGCTCACTAGATTATATTCTTACTTCTACATTTGATAATTCAATTCACTCTAGTATTAAACATAAGAGTTATAGGCGAATGAATTTTTTGGAATGTACAATTTTTTATGTTATGCGTTTTTAGGACGGTGAGACAATGTTCTCTTAAAATAGCTTTTTAAATCTATGGTCTTATTACTTTTTACATTTTTATGAATATATTTTAAATCCAAGTTTTATTTTAGGATTTACACTTGGAACATAATAATCTTACTATGATTAGTGAGAAAAATTTGAACAATACATTACCCAACTTAAACATCTTAACAATGAACAGTAATTCATGGATATGTGATTGTAATGCCAAGAATACTATCAATTTTATTCACAAATATTCATCTAAGGTGAAACATATTATACTGGAGCTCTTTAAAAGTTTAAACTGATGAGATATTATTATATTGTTAGTATATTATTTTTGTTTTTTTTTTTTTCAAATAGATTTTTGATTTATTCAGTATCACATGCAATCAGTCATCAACTCTGTTAGTTACCCTGACTGAGGAAGAAGTATGCCAAGAAGAATTAAATACTGCCATGAACATCACTGTATCTATACTTATAGTCGTGTTGTGGTCAGGTTTTAGCTTAGGTTTGTTATGGATGTTGTATTATAGCAGTGGCGTCATTAGGGGGGTTGCAACTGGGGAATTTGCCCCGATCTAGTAATTACATCAACTTTAAGTCAACACATTTACCCCCCCCCCCCGTGGAGGATACGAGGGTGTTGTATAAATTGTCAAAAAAAGATGCTCGTTAATCGGTAATCCCTACCTTATCGTAACCCACGTCTGCCTAAAATGTGCGACAATCACACAAACTCCCGCCTATTCCGGTGTCCAAAAGAACTCAAACCTTAACAAATTGATTAATGTGTATTCTGGAGTCTGAACATATGTATTTTAAATAAATATGATAACATTTCTTTGTACTAACCAATTTTTTATTTTTTTAATTTTCAATAATAAAATTAAGTGTTCAAATTTTCAAAATAATATAAAATCATTTTATATGGAAATATATGTTTTTTTTAGGGTTGTTTTTATAAGTGGTCCGATTTTTTTGATTTTCCCGGTAGAAATTTTTGACCCAATCCGGCCCTGATTTCATACGAAAAAAATATAGTTTCAAATTGTTTTACTAAAAATTTACTATTTTCTCTACATTTTATATAATCTAAAGTAAGTCTAAACGATATGCACTATTATGTGAATAGGTACTTCAAGTTATTCCTAATTATACAAAAAAAATAGTCTATTCTTAACCAGAGCCGTACCGAGCAATTTTCTATCCTGAGTCAGAACTGAAGCAATGCGCCCCCTGGGTTTTGGGATTGACACACTCACAGCTTTTAATATTTTTAATACGATTCGGAAAAATCTGAAAAATTGCATTTAGGTTTCGAGCAACAAGAAATAACATTTTTAGCCACAAGTATATAATTATTAATTATTTAATAATCATCTTCTTATACTATAGTAAACAAATAAATTTGATATTTGCAAATTATTAGATATTTCAAAATAATAGTTTTTTTGTTCTTGGTTCCTTTAAAGTTGTTGATATTTGCAGTAACTCTTCCACAACTTTTGTAGCATCTGTAAAATTTTCTTCTATAGTTGTGTCACGAATTTCTTGCAAAGAATTTTTAAGCCCAAGTATTAATAGTAAAACTATGTGTATTGTTTAAAAATAGGTAAATTCTTGTACGGAAAAAACAGAAAGCTACGTTTTTGCGAAAGGACGCAAAATACCAAGTCAAATTATTAAAACAGTAATATTATTATACACTACACACAATTTGTTCACTATTTATAAATTGATGTATTGTTTGTACATTATCTGATATAATGTACCGACCGCCGACCAGTCATCGATTAAACGGAAAATAAAGTCATTAAGATAACATGATAAATACTACTTATAGCAAAATAGAAAACTATAATGATAATAACAATTCAATAATTATAAAGTAATAAACTAGTAATCATTGAAGAAATACGACATGTTATATTGAAAATATAATATTACGTTTACGTATCAGTATTATACAATAATTAATACTTTTTCTTAAGTTCATCATTTAATATTTTTGCTCCCCCAGCATCAGGCACCCAAGGCAAGTGGCTCGCTCGCCTCACCCTAGTTACGGCTCTGTTCTTAACATTAATTGACACTTAAAATAGTATTTTTTAATTATTTTAATGACTACATTTTGTAAATGTAGATTTAATTAAAAAAAATTCATAGATTTACCTTAAGACCTAAGTCATCTTATCGATTTTTCGTTGTGTACAGATACATATTATTACTGCATACATATTATCAGAAACATGTTTACATATATTGATATATCATAATATACACCTTTACTCCATTCACCATATGAGTGTGGTTACTTCACGTATACGACTGGCGCCAAAGAGCGTGGATTTGGGTGGTTGCGGTGGTTGCTAACCTAACCCCATTCTCTCGGCAAACGGAGTTTAATGTATACTTGTGAGTTGTGATGATTTAAAAATAATATTATGTAATTATGGACAATATTGAACACTGCAGTAATATGTACCTAGTTTGCCTATACAATACGCCGGGCAACATTTTATGTTTGAGCGAAGTATATATTATTATATTCTATAACCTAGATTATAGGTATAGGCAAGTACATATTTTACAATATATTATATCGTATAAATGTATAATATACGATGGTATTTACAGAACAACCTGCAATAATTGAAAATCACTCCATGCACATTCTAACAATCAGTAGATCAGTTCTACAAATAGCATCATATAGTGCAATGTTTAATGAGTATAGCTTATCTGCTTATTGCATATTAGAACGGTCTATATAACGCCCCTATTATAATATATATATATTATTTTATTATCTTTAAATACTTACCCGTATTGGCGTACCTATTCTCATAATATTATATAGTTATATTAAATATTATTATACATATAATAATATACATACCCGTACAGTGGTTGAATACTACTATAGCTGAATAATCCGGCGTTGTACGGAAAAAATGTTTGGTTAATTAACTCCTTTTACGTGTAATTCGCTGTGGCCGCTGTGCATATCGAAGCAAAATCATATTATATTTTAATTTTTAGCCATCTTGCGTGGATATGCCGGTGAGTCTAGCTCATGGTTATGCAAACATTGCAAAACAATATATTATCAGGTAGATTGCTACCTCCGTTAGATTGCAGACACGGTGAAGTTGGTGATAAGGCAAATGAATCAGTCAAAGCATCAATTTATAAATTTTTTCCTGCATGTTAACCTCTTTTAACCCCCGTAGGGTTGAAAAATCATTCCTTAGGGGTTTTTTGCATCATAAAATGAAACAACTGACTAAATTTCATACTCATAGCTTCAGTGGTTCCGACTAGGTGATTTTTTTTCATTTTTACCACTTTTAATCGTTTTATCCCATGTAGGGGTTGAATTTTATTCGTTGGGTAAAAAAGCTTGAAAATGTAATACAACTATACAAGATCCTAATATATTGTTACAATGGCAGTTAAAAAATATTAAAAATACAGCCAACATTTTTTTTTATAAGCATTTAAAGTTCAAATTTTCACAAAATACGTAAAAAACACTAAATTCGTAAATTATTTTGAGATAAAAATTTTTGTTTTTAAATCTAAGAATTTAAAATACTATACAATATTCCTCATATAAGTTTGTCTACGTTTATCAAATAAAATATCTTCTGGAAAGTCAAATTAAATGTTATTAAATTGTTTGAAGCACAAATAACCCCTCGCGGGTTATTTTACACTTTGGTTTTCTATAGGACTCTAGCCTCTGCCAGTGGCATCATTTGGGGGGGGGGGCAAGGTGGGCATTTGCCCCTGTCTGATTTTAAAAGCGGCCCAATGGGTGAAATTGGTGTACCTTATCCAACCTAAATTAAAATTTATTTTTTTCGAGACTCGTGTATACATTAATCTTTCAATTTGAGGAAAATATGACAAAAAAAAAAAATGTGCGGCTAAAAATATCAAAATGTTACTATTCAATCCTATAGTTCTGCGTTATGCCCATGAATATACAGGGTGTTCCGTGAGGATTTACTCATTAGCCGTAGAGGGGGACTCGCCGCCCGGACAAAAACCAGTTTATTGACGTTTTACTAATAAACTAAAAAAATTATTAAAAATCATGAGATTAATGAAAATAAAATGTTAAAAGCTCAAAATGTTCACAAAAATATACTCTATAGAATGGCTATCTTCAATTTTTTCAAAAATAAAAAAATAATTTTTTTAACTTTTTTACTAAAAAATTTAATTTAATTAAAAAATAAAATATTTGTAGTGCTTACCTCTGCGAGTCTTAATAAAAAAACATAATTACGATATCTCCATTATTTCAGGAGATATCGCAATGAGTAAATCCTCACGGGACACCCTGTATATAGGTAAAGACTAAAGACGATTATGAAAATAATAAATATGTAGGTATACAAAGGTCAACGGTATACAAATTTGCGGTAGGAGTTGAAAACCAAGTCATATATTTTCATAATATAAAATAAACAACTTAAAAATGTAAAATGTAAAATAAATTAGAATAATACCTACATCTAAATAATGTTTTTTATGCATTATATATGTGTGATAAATTTATAAAATGTTAAATCAAATGCTGGTAGGTACCACCCGAGTGCAACTATAGGCTCAAAATTCTGGGGGGCTAACAGAACTATTTATTTAAAATAAGCCATAGGGGGCTTATATCTAAATCAATAAGGGATATTTGTGGCGGGCTCACGTCAGGGGTTCTAAGCCCCCCTAGTTACGCCAATGTCTCAAGCACTATCAGGCATTCATACCTTTAATAAACATAATACAGTTAAGTATGTATGTACCTAACTACTAGGTAATACAATTAAAATTTTTTTTTTTGTAAAGTATTAGTGTATCAGTGACTAGTCTCTGCCTCTCTGACAGTCTGCTAGCCAGCTATGTCTAGTTTTATTAGTGTAGGTAGTCACTGTGTTAGGTAGGTATAAATAATTTTGCGATTTAAGTTGCGAAGTAAACTACTAAAATATTTTTTGTTAGGTAGGTACATAAATAATAATTAAAAATCAAAAATTATTTTGTCTTAAAAAAATAATATTTATGTAATAATAAAATTACTAAGAACACCAACTTAAAAATACCAGAGAATTCACCAAACTGTATAGTAGTTATCAGTTATCGGGTGTACGGTGTACCTCGTAATTGAGTAAGTCACTGTAATGGATGTGTTCAATTTTGACTCAATATATGGTATCTACATCATTGTATGAGATGAAAAACGGTTCTGAGTGGAGACTGTCCGTGTCAGCCTAAATGTAGGTAGGTGTACCTTAAAATCTGTATGGCAAGAAATGGCAAAATAAATTTTAATGGGCACTTATAGCTGGGTGATTTACCGTTATTACTACGACGATGATATCATATTGATCCTGCGCGAACCAACGATTAAATAAGTAAACCTACTCGTTGTCATGGTGGCAGTATTTCAAGGTCGGCAGTATTTTATTTGCACCGAGTATAATCCCATATTCCTATAATTCCTATACGGCTCTACCTAGAGAGCCTATATAAGAATAGCTATACCTAAACTGTATAATATGAGATAATTATAATAT